TAAGTACGTAAAGATGTATTTTCTAACGTACTGGGAGATTTTTGGCATTGTTTTGGTTACACTGTATTTTGTCCTCTCATTGMTYTTTCCAAAGACTGGAAAYTCTGACAAGGAACAGAARRAGCCTCATCAAGACACTTCAATTGCTTCAATTAGCAAAGATCACGAAAGAGTGTCCGAAAAATCAGCGTGTGTTAGTCAGAAGCAACGATATCAAGATGATAGCGGTAACGTTGTTTGTTCATCTAATGCTYATCGTGAGGCACCAACTCAACAGGAAGTCAGTACAGAAGTTCATAAAAGTGACTCTCTTACACCAGAACATCAAGAGAATACTTTTGCGARCGAAGATAATGTATCTTCTGTTCCACAAGTGGCTTGTGCTTCAATAAARGACGCGCCAATTCAACCGTTGAAATCTAATCTTTGTGAAACTCCTTCACATTCTAAGTTGTCTGAACTGTCTGAACTCGCAGACAACTCTGTGTCGACTTCAAATCCACTTCTAGAATCCATTCAGGGCATTACAAATCGTAATTTATACGAAAACGTTGATGCTGAAATAATGAATTCAGCAGGGGAGATAACTTCAAACTTACAAAATAACAATAATTTGGAAAAATTTGCAGATGGTTTAGCAACCTCAGCTATAGAAACAGCTGTTGATGATTCTGTTTGTTTAAATAATTTTGCAGAAAATTTATCTGAAAAAATCTTCTGGTCYTCAGCAGATGATGTTATTTCTGAAGTCCATGCAAGCATAGAAAAGCAAAAACAAGAGGGAACATTAGAGCCAGTCAAGCTACAATCACTGAGTAGTAATGTTGCTAGTGAAGTAGTAAATGAGGCTATAGGGGAGGCAGCTTTGAGAGAAGAGTACATGATTGATAAGGAATCTGAGGAAGCTTCCCCTAAAATACAACCACATCTTGGATATGTTGTGGAAAATGTTGTAAATAATGCAATTTGTGAAGCTGCTTTGAGATTAAAAGAAGATGAAGATAGAGATGCCCCATCAGAAGAGGATGTTTTACATATATGCGAAAGTGAAAGTTCTAGTACTTCAGCACTTCTTGAAGGAAGTGCTGAGACAGTAAGTAATGAAGATACTGTCCTTCAGCAAGAGCAGTTTCAAGAACTAAAAGACACCAGCAATAGACAAAATGAAGACCAAGAAATCCAATCAACAGCAGATGAAATATCCATTAATAAATCACAAGAAGTTAAATTGGAGGGCAATGGTCATGTTATTGATACTTGCATTGAAGAYGAAAAAATTAGCAAACCAACTGAAAGCCTTAATACTGTTGAAAACAATGATCCATCTGCATTTGATGCTTCTAAACTTGATAGTTCTGAAGACCAGCCTAATAATCCTGCTATTGAATTCCCAGTCCAAGATGACGAGCTTAAAGTTGAGAGTCATGATCATGATACACAACATATTGACCAGGAAAAGATAACACATGAAGGTTACTCAAATGAGGAACCAATTACATGTTTACCATCACAAATAATTGTAGCCTCAGAAAAAGCTGATAATGAAGAAACAAAGAATGAAATAGAATTAACTTATGAAGATGAATCAGTCCAGGRAATTGAGCATGATAAGTCAAGCAATGTAGCATCAGATAGCACTAATGATGATAAAAAAGAAGAAGAAAGTGGCAAAATATTAGAGGAAGCCAAACCTGCATCAGTTKTTGATGAAATCAGAGTTGGATCACAATACCAAGATGATAAAGAAAATGATGTTCAAATCTCTCCTGTGATACAKAAAGAAAGTATTGATGAGTCAAATAAAGAAGATACAACAGAAAACAAAATCTCTGCTGCAGTGCAAATTACAAGTCATGCTGAGCTGGAAGWAGAAATAGAAAATCAATCTGTCCCAGAAATAAAGTTAAGTCCAGACAAAGACAGAAGTCAGTCATCCAGTGAATCAGAGGAAATTGCTGGTCCAGTTTGTTCACCAGAGCAGCTGAGCACAGTTACTTTGAGGGAAAAAACTGATGATAACAAAGGTGGATTCTGGAGAAGAAGCCTGATTTTAGATCTAGAAGAAGATTTTGAACCTGAAGAAAGCTTTTCAAGTCCTTCTTCCCCAGGTAGTCCACAATCCATACAACAGAGGTTTTTAAGTGAAGGATCAGAAGAATTGAGTGATTCAGAGGAGGATGAAATAATAGATTATGATGAAGATGCCAAACATGGTGCAGTGGGTGGTTCCCATGCTCCTAAACAAAATGTTACAGAAGAGCAATTTGATTTTTATGACTATGGAAGTGATGATGATGATGATGATGATGATGATGATGCATTTGATCCAGTTTTATCAGTTGATGGTCTGTGCATCAGCAAACAAACAGACAAGGGTTCAAAGAGAGTAAAGAATCTTAAGTCAGGTAAATTTCAGTTGATTACATAATGATTCCTCCATGATAACATATGAATGTATCTGATTATTGTGTACTGAAATGATATCATTTCATATATCACTTAATTGACTGATAAACGTGTGATAGCAATCAAATGCTTATTTTTTGATTGATGGAGTATTTGATTTTGTAGTTGGATCTCACTATAATCGTGCTATAGTCATTGATAATGGTTGTGGATACATCAAGCTGGGATATGCTGGAGACAGAGTACCAAGAGTGGACCAACAAGCAGTATCTGGTATACCATCACGATACTCTATGCAGATCACAGGCCTTGGAGACAAACTCAGAGACTTTAAGAAGTTTGGTTCAGATGCAGTATCCAAAGCTGGAGTGATGCATTTAAGTATGTGACAATAAAACTAGTTTATACACCCTTTTAATAAGTCCCGAGGTATTGAGTTCTCCGCACTTGACGTCAAATTTATTCTTTTGAAATTTTTACAATACAAAAGGAATTCAAAAGAATAAATTTGACGTCAAGTGCGGAGAACACAATACATCGGGACTTATTAAAAGGGTGTATATCTGAACAAAGTGAAATGGACGGTTGCACCTTTACTCTTTGAAAATAATACTTTTTAGCATTATTTATGTTGATAATTTGTCTGTTGTCAGGTCACCCTATGAAGGCTGGTATGATTGACAACTGGACGGATGTAGAGGACATCTGGGAACACATGATTTTCAATGAGCTGGGGGCAGAAGTAGGAGAAAATCCCATAATTATGACAGAGATTTCACAAAATAACAAGAAAAATAGAGAAAAACTTACTGAGGTAACTATGATAATTTGAATTGAAATAAAAAGAGCATAATCTTGATAGATAATACCATATGTATTTAAATAGTAATAATTATTGATTCTCTTTGTAGATTTTATTTGAGCGTTTAAATGTTCCTGCTATGTATCTAGCAGATCAGCTGCCTCTATCWATCTATGCCTCAGGGCTCACATCTGGTGTTTGCCTGTCATCTGGATATTCTTGTTCACAAGCAGCTGTTGTATATGAAGGACATACATTGTCCTATACTGTTCAACATCTGGACATTGGAGGAGGGCACTTGACTGAAAATTTAAAAATTCTTCTAAGGGATAACAGAGGGCATAATTTCACAACATCATCTGGTTGGCAGATTGTGAATGACATTAAAGAGACCACTTCATTTGTATCAAAAGGTAAATTATCAATGATATAATGGATAGAATACATTTCCAGGAATGCAGCTATTATTAGGTGAATGAATGTCGCGTGACATCCACCCATGAAAGCCTTTATTACATCTGTGGCACATTGCCATTGTAATAGTTSCAGAAATAGCTACAATTTACATAAAATTAGCATAAAATCTATAAATGTTATTTATCTTTATTTTTGAAACATATCAAGGTGATACATTTGAAAACTTGTTGATTTAGAGAATTGTCATAATAAACCACTTTATAATCAATTAAATATCTTTTATCTTATAGATTATAACAATGAAGTCCAAAAATACAAATCAAACGATGGTTTAACTAAGTATTATACTCTACCGGATGGTCAAGTCATAGATATTGGTTATGAATGCATGTCATCAGTTGAACCCTTATTCCAACCTAATGAACTGATGTCAGCTGATGCAACAACAGCATCACAATCCCCTGTCCACCAGATGGTTAATAATGCAATTAAAAGGTACTATCAACAATTAGGGAGTTATCATTATTTRTTGGGGGGAGGGCCACTAAATTTGTGGGRAGGRTCACATTTTTTTGGATGTGTGTTTGGGGAGGGTTGACTTTTTTCAAATGAGCTTTAGGGGAGGGTCACAAATTTTGGACTGGGGAAAAATAAATAAGAATAAGGCTTCTTGTGTTTATCTTTAAAACTCTTAYCAAAAAGCTTTAGTGGAGATTTTTAAAAATTTTGCCTTAGAGGAATTTTTTTTCGGTCCTTCGATTTCGTGCTTCTCTTTCCTGTTTTACMAGCGTGCGTTATAAGGATAASCGTTCGTGAGATTTTTCTTATCCTTTCAAAGTATCGACACAAAAGAAATGTTAGTTAAAGTCCACCAATGTGTACATCGCACTTGCTAATTACTAACTTGTTTAAATTATTAGACAATACTAATGTTAATGTATCTTCTGCAGGTGTGACAAAGATCTGCAACAAATGTGCCACAATCACATCATTCTCTCAGGAGGAACAACTTTATTGAATGGATTCACAGCACGCTTACAACACGAGCTTCATCAAATCAATCATAGAATACGAAAAATTCGTACACCAGACCACCGGCGTTATTCTCCTTGGATTGGTGGATCAATTTTGGGTAGTCTGTCTGTCTTTGATGAGCAGTATGTCACCATGGATGAATATGGCGATTCAGGACCACGTATAGTYCATAAGAAATGTTTTTAGAGACGGATAACAAGAGTTTTTGTTACTAAAAGGGAGAGGGAGAATCTTTCAAGAATAGTAAAAAATCATACTACAATTCGAAAATCATTGCACTAAGTTTTGTAAGGATGCAGTGAAWAGCYTGCTATGTCGATAGCTGCCTTTTTCCTTTTGGGCTGAGGAATTCCACGTTTATCATTCGATTATTATCATTTAACTGATGCACTAATTGCACTGTTAGTAATTTCTTAGAAGCAAAAACAATGACGGCAGTCTACGTAACGTCAGATAAATAGCCGACTTGCGAATTACGCATCAATAGTCACATACAAAGGAATCAAGACGAGGCGCCGTGCTTTTTTGTGAAAAATCTATTGTCTTTAGCACGGCGCCTCGTCTTGATTCCTTTGTATGTGACTATTGATGCGTAATTCGCAAGTCGGCTATTTGATAGCGTAATTATTTCTAAGATAAGGATATCCTCTAGCGCGGATGATGTTTGTGCATAACCATTGATACATTTTCAAAATTATTTGACGCTTGGGTGGGGCTGACCATAATCGGCATCGATCATCAAAAATGTATCTTTTTTTGAATGGAGCCAGGTATTAGTGCCCCAAGCACTAGGCTGAGTAATACCATACTATATTTTTATTACATMCAATCGATAGTTTAGTGAAAAGCTGAATAACATCATTATTGAATTGTAAGTCATGTTTTAGTAATAAATAAATTGAATTCAGTTGTAAGTGCGCATGCACTGGTGAAACTTCACTTTGGCCTCGACGCCAGTAACCTTTGGTGGCAGACGTATCACTCGCGCAACAACCGCAGAAGGCTCGTGCTACTGAGACGAAGTCAATTTCTCGCTTGTGACTGTCACTGCAAAACCAATTCGATCATGCAAACTGCGATTACATTTCTTTAAGAGTAACATCTTTTCAAAAGTTGTCACGAGTCAAGGGTGGTTTGATTATCAGGATTTTGATCCTAGACATGCTACTCGAAAAAAATAAAACAGAACAACTCTTTAAGATCAGTTTGCTCGATCGTACAGTAGCGGTTTTATTTCCTACAGAAAAAAAACTTTATTCATCGTTAATATTAACTATTAGCCTTCTACAGAGATGTTCCGGACGRAAGTCTGAAGTAGAAATATTTTGTCATTTTACTTTGTAATTTCATCGTAGCTAGCCTTGATGTCTCGTTCATTTCGAAAGGTAAATGTGTTTGAAAAAGCACATGTATTAAATTGAGCTTGGCCACATTTTGACAAACAAAAACGTGGTCATGTCGTTCAATGYGCATAGTAGACTACCGTCTGAAAGTTCATCAAGAGTGTAGTGTTTTTATCATCACTAGCTGTCGGTGTTTGCTGAAGGCAGATTTTTTCTAGTATCGACGCAATCTAATGAAAGAGAGCTATATTCCAAAGTATACACACCTATGAAAATGAACTATTACTGGATGACGTCCTAAGAGATGGTCTYAGAAAAAAAGAATAAAATGACAACGGATAATATATTGCAGCTGTACTTTTGCCAACAACTGTAATAATCAACTAAACATTGATTTAAAAGTGGATTAGAGTATTCCTAATGAGGTGGATGTTTTGACTTTTTCCTCTACTAATCACCCTTTTTGTCTATCAAAACGAAAGGAWATGTTATCCAGATTGTAAGTTGACGCCACACTGTCTACTGAAAACTGAAATGTTAAAGAATAATGAAGTACGATTTTTCGCTTTGACCACSAATTGARGAGATGATCTTAGTGGAWATGAAAAAAGAACTAAAATAAAATATTGAAAACTGCAGTAATGAATGGATCTGTGGACTTTTTGCATTGAAACAATTCTTTTTGTTTTATAGTTAAGAAAAGGCACTTGTGATTGAACTTATGCACAATTTCTAATTAAATAGAAAACTGTGAATGTTGCGCACATTTCTATTTCTCATTGCTATTTCGATCCTCCATTTCCCTCTCACACTTGCCCCAGTCCGTCTCGGTGATGAAACTCACGCGGTTACTTAGTACATCACAGCGAGACGAAAAACAGGTTTATCGGAAATGTTGATGTTTACGCACAGGAGTTGAATTTCTATTCATTTTGCTGTCAACTCAATACCATCTGTTGAGGCGTACAACCAGGAACTTAGAAAGTGATCGAAATGCATGATTCTAGTTTCAGAATCGATCTTTATACACTAGTAACAAAAATGAAACTGGAAACAAGATAACTTTTAGTTTGACGACAAGAACAAGACTCGACAGCTATGGCTGAAGGAGGCTTTGACTTGAGGCAGAATTTTAACTTTTCTGACTCTGACAGCGAAGGAGAGGAAGATAGAATGGCTCGTGAAGTAAGGGAAAGGCTTTTCGTGTTCGGTCTGGATGGGGATATCAGCCCTGAACGAAAAGACTCGTTAGAAGTAGGTTTACAATCTTCTCAAAACAGAGAAAACGACGAAGCTGAAACGACAAGAAATGTTTCAAGTGCAGACCACTCTTCAAGTTCCAATCAAACTTCCAGTTGTCCAGCACTTTATGATAACATCACAACGAGGAGAAGATCAAGAACGTTCTCATTTGGTCGATTAGTAAGACGACTCAGTCGCAACCGAAGAAGAACGGCAATGGATGATGCGTACAGAGAAATTGAAATTGGTTCAGTCGGCGGAAGGATGCTTACAGCTGGCTTAGAAATCGCGCAAAATTCTCCTTCAAATCAGAATGAGACATACAGGGAACGTTTAGGCGATAGAAGAATACGACAAAGGCCACAAAGTACTGTCGTCTTGCGTCCCAGAACTTCTACTGACGTAAGTGACAGACGAAACAGAAGGCCAAACTCATTTATTGGTAGAGTTTGCAAGTTGTTTGATTCTAGTAATGCTGAGGACATAAGAGAAACCCCGCCGGGACCTAGTTTAAATGCAGAAAGCACCTCAGCTGATAGTACCGCTATGATAGATCCAGGAACACCAACGATAAGATTCCCAATTGGAGTTAATGAACTTGTTGCAATAAGAAGAGAAAGAGCGAGATTGAGGGTTGAGCAAACTCGAATAGAGTATCACATTATTCCAGACATCTTAGATATCACTAACTGTCCTTGGTACTGGGGGAAAATCAATCGTTTTGAAGCAGAAAGGGTAAGAAAATGTTGCTTATTCTTTTGTTGTATATAATTTGAAAGAGACTTCTCAAATAAAGCTAAATATACTATTCACACCTTAGTAAATACGACACTTGAAAGGCTTCCTTATTTCTGACACCTTTTTGTAAACATGTTTTTTCTGTAAACTGTTTTATATTCAGCTTATTCATTCGATGCACGCTAGCTATATTAGCTGCTTTCTGGCGTATATGTAAATTTGAAGTATTTCGCGTATAAAAGTAGGGGAATGCTTTTGTGTATGCTTATTGTACCTGTAATTATGTTATTAATGTTGAAGAATCTGCTTAAATGTTCTTAATTAAAAGTTGCTTTGTTATCCTGTTTTGTTTTGTTAAGATTTGTACTTCGTAAAGTATTTTATAATTTTTACAAAACAAAGGAGAACTTATAAAAGCGTCAAACTTATGACGTCAAGAAGAGCATGAAGGCAGTATTTGAGAACTTGTTGGTGGTCTATTGTTTTCATTTATTGGTATCTCAAAAATTTAATTAGACTGTATAAGTTAACTAGGAACTATTTGATTCTCATCAGATCCATACATCTATTCATATATTCATAAATCCTTCCTATAAAATGCTTTTAGAGTCTTTTGTTCATTAAATTCTAAAGATGTTTGGGTTTGTTTGGCGTGGAGAGGATATTACTTAGATGTTGACTGGTGGTTTGTTGAACACATGGTGGAAGATTGTGGTTTAATGGCATGTTTTTGTCACTTCCTTACATTTACTAGTTGAATATGAATGATATAAATGATGCTATCAGATTTTATGCTTTTAGTTCCTATACTGAAAAATAKTAATGATATATCTAATAAAAAACAAGTTCATAACAGAAGAGAGTTGATATCCATCTGATAAAAAATGTTCTCCAGATCAAGATTACATRATTTTATCAAAGGCACATGTAAAGGATGGTATTTCAAACAAAGAATTGAGATATTAAAATAATGTTAGATATAGATAGAGCAGTCTTTACTAATCAAAAATGAAAATGCTCAACATGTTAGTTTTCTTGAAAGCCAGCCAACTGAATATTGAATTTCTTGCTCTGTTGCCATTGAATCATTAATTCATTTGATGATAATAGCAAGATTGACAATGAATATTTATTAAAAATAAAGTATTTTTTTATGGCTTATGTGCAGACAACACTTCCTTGAACTAATTTGAAATACACAGTATAGTTGTTTATATATAATATATATTCATGTCAAAACTTGTTAGAAAATGCAAAGCAAAACACATGTAATTTAATACTTTGAAATCWTTGTCTTGCAGGTGCTTGAAGGCCAATCTGATGGAACCTTTCTTCTGCGTGACAGTGCACAACACCATTACTTGTTTTCTGTCAGTTTTAGAAGATATTTCCGTACTTATCATGCCCGTATTGAACAATGGAAACACAACTACAGCTTTGATAAACCAAGTGATTTTTCATTTCGTTCAAGAAATCTGTGTGACCTGTTAGAACACTATTCACAAGCTGAACAGTGTATGTACTATGAGCCTTTGTTGCTTCATCCCTTTCCAAGGAAGTCAGTCATGTCCTTACAGCATTTGTGCCGTGCAATTATTTGTAACCAAACCACCTTCCAAGCAGTTGAAGAATTACCATTGCCYAAATCTCTGAAGCTGTATCTGAGGGAGTACCATTACAAAGTKGCTGTCAAAAAGATGGAAGACAAAGGAACCCAGACAGTACCWTGCAGGAAAATTTTTGGGATATACAGGAGTTAAGTTATCGGCAAATCTACAATGAAATTTAATGAATGTAACAAGGACATGAAATCTGCATCATGATTAGACAAGTTTGACATTGTTAAAATGCATACACAGAATCCGTTCCARCAAGTAAACTTAGGTAGACACATTAAAGTTAAACAATTAAAATATTTCACCCTTTTTCTTTTTAAAAAAACAAGATCCTTTCCATAATAAATTGAAAGTCAAAGAAATGAGTAATAATCTCATAAATTGGCATCTGAATTTTTTTTTACTGGAAGACTGCAAAACTAYYATAGTGGTCTAAAAATTATGAAATTATTGYTKAACCCAAATATTTTGAGTTCAGACTTTACAAAGAGGGCTTTAACGTGATAAGCTGGGGCACCATTTGCATGATACAGCTATCATTTGACTGTGAACTACCAGAATGTTCTATGTATTGTACTACTAAAGAGATAGCAATATTACAATACAAAAGAACAAAGCATTCTGAAAGATTCAGTATATGATAACTTCATGCAAACACMATTATACTCATTTAGGCACCAATATAGGTTTTGTAGGGTATTATTGTTTCACAGACACCTTTGATTTTGATCTAAGACTGATAAGTTCCTCAGAACAACCCAAAATGCTGGTAGAAAATCTAAAAGTGTGTTACTGTTTGATACCATAGTGTTTGGAAAATGTAACACTAAATAAGAACTAGTTATTGTTCTTCAATGTTAGATGTAACATGAGTTTTATCATGGTTTCAGATTATACACATTGTAGTATTTGTACAAATATTTTCCATCATATGGCTCTCTTACTTGGAGTTTTATAAATATTGAAATACATCAACCTTGAACAGGGTACATATAATGCTCTTTAATGWATGATCTCCAAAATAGGGGGACATTTCTACGACCAGATATTCATTTTTTTACAAGTATCATTCAGAAATCAATACTGCATATGCCAAAATTGTAAAATTCCAAGTTTGAGGTCCTTTATAAAAAGATATTCAACATAAGAATTTTAGCACAATCAAACAAAGTATTATAATATTAAAACACATGAAGTAGATATAATAAATTTGTTGGTGTTTTGAATGTACAAAATGATCATCCAACATATTACACCCACTCCTATATCTGATATCACAGACCARTATAGCAAATATTTTTAAATTAAAATAATACTCCCTTGTCAATCTCACAGCTGATCTGTAATTTTGAATACCCTGTTACTTAGAATACAAAAATACTATAGGATGGTACTTGTAACATTATGAAGTCAGAAAGAGCTGGGCTCTACCCGATGGAGTTTCMCAGGACATTTATCCCACATTCTTTTTTACCTTTCCATCTTTTTCAGGCTCTCAAACTCCCTACATTTTATTGAAATATTGATACATYTGAGATCATTTATCCTTCTTCTCTTCTCTCCTACATTTTTTATCTGTCAAAGCGACCATACAAGGAGAGTAATTAGTGAATGCGAATTTTGCTTGGTAAGACACAGGAAGCCCAACTGAAAAAGGTATTGTGGAGACTGGACAACAAACGGTTAGGTAAGGAACGCCTAGTTGAGTTCATAATTTCAGTTCCAAAACGTGGTTATTTGCTCCTACAAACACCATATTTTTGTCCCAATTACCAAATATGCCRATGTATTTATCTGGTATGCGAATGGTTGGGATAGGATGGTAAGTATGACCTACGAATGGCTTATTTTGCACACTTTTGAAAAGTAGGTATAACCATGTGAGTATGGTTTTTAGGGTGGTTGTGATCGCAACAGGAATATCTTCATTTGTGTTTGCTAAAAGACATATCGACAGAAAACGCCTTGAAAAACTGAAAGCWGAAGCGAAAAAGATTAAAGAACAAGGGAACTAATGTCAGGAGTAGTAGCCTCGGTCAGCCTACTAGTACTTTGCTCTGTTACCTTGAACAATGACCTGTACAGACTTTATAATAGTTTGACTATTATTACCAGTGCACAAGAACTACGAAAACTTGCCATTGATTGAGTTTATGAATACTGAATAACTTGCGAAGTACAAAATGTCTAAAAATTGAATTGAAGTACATACTTGCTTTGTAGCCCACTTCAAAATATCAATGTTTTAATTGATAATAATAACAGATGTGTTCTCAGATGTGTATAACATCAATTGATCAAATTGATAATTATCTTTATGTCGGCTGTTGTGCTGATGTTTGGAAGCATTTATACAAGACATAAACAAGAAGTGACAACAAAAAGACAGSGAAGAGATCAAGAACAAGAAAACTGTCATTTCACAGAAACCTGATGATGTAGAGGCAGTTTATTTTAGAAACAGTCACCAATAATGAAAATGTCAAATGAATTTGACAGAGAAACAATTAGTTCACCAGACACTACCTAATGGCTCAAATATTACATAATGTTTGGGTCTATTTCTCATGATCTAATGAGTAGCAATGAAAATCCATGCACAGTAGTGTTATAGTTTGTTGTATCAGATTGCTACCCTATTCAAAAAGAATAGGTCACATTTAGAAACTTTACTTTTACATTTTCTGACAAATGTCTGGACCCACCTGTACGTCATGGATTTTGTTGGATTAGAGAATATGTTTGCCTGATAGCAAAAAGCGACAATTATACATRGACAGTGTTGACAAATGATCATATAGAGTAATTAACACTACATGACAGACACATGTTTGTTTTAATTGAGTCTTCATATAATAATTATTATAACAATATTTACTAAATGATAATTACATTTTCGATTATCAATTAATTCTGTAAAATCACCCTGCCTAGATACGCATGTTTCAAGGTTCCACTAAGAGGAACTCAATTAACATAATTCAGGGTTACCATAACTCAAAGGTCATTTTCCATTTTCTGGAAAGGACATGCATCTTTGTATGAACAGACCTAAAATATTAATGAAATGCTTGTTTCTGTTGTAATTGTTCGTGTCCACTTCTGCATCCTGTTTCTCCCAGTAACTGAAAAAAACTTCTTTCTTCATTAATGTCTTGCAAAAGTCCAGCTTTCTACTATGTTGCTCTATGCAGTTTTTTATTGGGTTTTAAGCACCCAATAAAAATAATTCATCACCTGCCAGGAATTGTCACATTAAATACTTTAGCTGTGCTATCACCAGAACCAGTGACAATTTTTGTCCCATTTCTGAAAGAAAAGGAAAAGAATGGGAAAAAGGAATTCTCTTGAATCATCAATTTATTGTTTTCAATAAAAAAATTACTGGTTAACATTTCGAAAACGAATAACGTATATTTCCAATACCCCTGGAAGAACAAAATAAACTTGTTTCTCTTTCAATTTTTTATACATACATTTGTYAACTGAGAAATGAACCAATTTGCTCATTATTTTATAATACAATACTGTAAACTAATACACTCATTTTACTATTACCTTGAAATAGCGAGGTCAAGAATCTCCGACCTATGCCCTAACCATTCTCTTTCACAATTTCCTGATCTGATATCCCATACTCTTACTACTCCATCAAGGCAACATGAATATAATATAGAACTTGTTGGATCCCACTTGAGACGTACTATTGATGCCTAAAAATGTTATTATCACTAATTACACAAAATTCTAACATACAGTGTCTAATTTTAATTTTTGTCATGCCAGCTACTTAAGAATTAACAAAGTAATGATCAGTACTAAGCAACACCATATATAACAAACACAAAAATACAAAATAAAAACAGAAATTGAAATAAAAAGGCAGAAAGTAAAGATACTTACTGGATGCTTACACTGTTGACGTAGTCGATATGTTGTCAAGTCCCAAAGACCTAAAACACCACTCAGTGATGCTGTTGCTATGATAGGCAGACTGAAAATTGATATGGCAAACACATTAAAACAGGACTTAAGTTCATGAATATTATTATTCCTCAGATTTTTACATATATAAACCTTATAATGCTATACAGCCTTTTGCAAAAATTATGAGAATTGTCTAAATATCTAAATATCATAATATCCATATCCATATATTGTCCGGAACACGCGGGTTTGCTAGAATAATTCATTGTTGACATCGAGAAAATGTTCAGAACTACGGATAAGTCTGTCGCCAAAAAAAACTAAACAACAAAGACAAGGGACTAAGGGCATCGCGCGGGATCATGCACTTGATATTATGATATTTAGATATTTCAACAATTCTCATAAKTTTTGCAAAAGGCTGTATTTTATTATTATATATATATTAGAGTGCTTACACTACTTCAATTAAATAGAATCTTAGTAATTACTACCAAATAGTTTGTATTTAGTTACTATCCGGCTCAACTGTGATAGTTTTAGCAACAGTACATACTTTACACAAGGGAAATTGAATATACAGTAAATGAAACATTAATTATAAGTATTCTAAATAGGACTATTAGGCATTATRTTATAGCTCARTTCTAACATGTGTGAGAAAAGCTATGGTTTATTTCATGGTTAACCAGCCTGTTGAAAAACGTTTGAATCTAAATAGAGGACGCCCACCCAAATTTTTTGCTATAATATAAAAGCAATAAATGATAGATTGAAGAAGTTTACTGGTGAAATAAACTGCTTGGAATGGTTAGGTGAAGACCAAAGTAAACCACTTTAAGCTATCATTTATTTTATCATTTATTTGTTTTATTTAATGGACATAGTGTATGCACTCTACAGAAATTAATGACAGGATCATATATCAAAAATCCATCCTATTACAAAATGGTCATCATGTATACCTATCAGAAAAAGTGACAGCTTCAATAGAGGGAGGATTTTCTTCTCTTGGATCAGGAAAACCTGCATCAAGAGTTACTAAAACCTAACAACAAAACAACTCAAAAACTTAGATTTAGTTTCAAGAATATTGAGATGAATGTAATGTCCATAAATAAATTGCCTTATCAGCACACCTTTCCCGTGGTACTATTTATAATTTTTGATTTTGAATCTTCGGCTCCAGTTGCAATTAAATTTCCATCCTTGTGACATCCAATGCAGGTTACAGACCCTTCGTGGCTTGTTCCATCTACAAGACAATAGATACTTATTTGACAACATATTTTGATGAACRCCTCGTTACTAAAAGGCATGAGGCCGAGTGGTTAGAGCATTGGTATCATAATCTGGCTATGCCAGGTTTGATTCTCAGTCTGATCACTATCTGAGACTGAATTTGTTCCAATTTCAAATTCATATTCTCAGATTTTATACAGGCGCATTTGATCATATCCATATGAGCTAATCAAATATTATTATTGTTGTTTTGTTTGTTATTGTTGTTGCTCATTGTTATTATTTAATAAACAATTTTGATCTAATCAGATTAAATATTTTATCATACCATATGATAATTATTATCTTTACCAACTTGCCTGAAAGATGAAATGCAGGAGTTCCTTTTTTAACATCCCAGACCTTCACTGATCCATCTTCATAGCCTACGCAAGCTCTTATACCTAGTAATGATTATCAGTGTGTATAATATATAGATGTAATAGTACAAATGCCCTGATTGGTGTAAGAGAATGATTATTTYRCTGGTAAATGCAMAMTCGCAACCATAAATAACTTAAAAAATAAACAAAAATTCCACTACTCACTTGTGTCAAATCAAATCAACAGGGAAATGATTGGCATAAAATTATAAGAGACACACCAATTTAAGGAAAAGTGGAAACATACAATGTACTTCATGAATAAACATCTTTTGTCTGTGCCATAATAAAAGAAAAAAAATGTCTCACCATCTTTCATAAACATGCCACATGTTGACCTACAACCATGTCCCTGGAAGGTCTTTGTTTCTCCACTAGGAATCTTCCACATCCAGACATTACCATCTGCTGTCCCAGCAAGYAAAACATGTGCTGAATGATGCCAATCAAGCCACTGGAAAAAATTAATGTGATAAAGAAAGCTCAAAATAAGTACTAATAGTATAAGACAGTTTGATTACATAAAATACTGTACATGTGTTWTTATYTTATATGGCGGGAAAACAAMAGAACTTGAGAACAAATRAACATTCTACAAGCATCAAGARACATAATAYGTCTTACCTCAAGGTCAGCACATTCAAAATTCCACACTTCTTGAGCACTTTCTAATTCCCACACTTTTACCAGCCCACTCATATCACCAGTTGATACAAAYTTTGAATCATGACTAAATGCTGTACACGTWACYGAATCTTTGTGTCCTTAAAACAACAGAACRACCAAAAAATACAGTCAAACACCCATCAGACTGGCAGTATTCATACAGTCAAGAGTTATATTTCTGCAGCAGAGGAGCTACCACAGGYTGTCCCAATTTCATTCAGCCATTCTTATAATATTACTACCTGGACAGTTAAAAGCTACTTGGCCATCACTTATTTTCCAAACATAAGCCTTATCATCTTCACCACCAGAAACTACATGTGTATTATTGGCAGGATCAATAGCAACTGAAAAAACTGATGCTGAAAGAAATGATATTCAATCTGAGCACATAATAGCTAAATGCACACAAAATATTGAGATGTACTAACTATTTTATATAAAACATCTAAAATGACTTTTGTGTAAAGAAGATAAGTTTAACACCGTAAAAAGGTATGGGAAATAACTTACTGACGTTTCGGATGTTAATCCTTCGTCTGAGGATTAACATCCGAAACGTCAGTAAGTTATTTCCCATACCTTTTTACGGTGTTAAACTTATCTTCTTTACACAACTGTTTCTTTAGAAACACCGACGCAGCTCACACTAGTTTACCGCTAGTTCCCACCATTTTAAAATGACTTTTGCCTAGCTGGGACCTCCCTTGTCAACAATGTGACATGATATAGTAAACTTTCTTTAAAGAGTCACAAGTCTTGATACAATCWCAACCACACTCTACAAAGCCTTTAACATAATGTCATGATATTGAGTATGCTTTCCAACAGTCTTGATAATGTTTGGCTTGCTAATTTTGAAAGGAACATGTTTGGCTTATGTTTATATTTTGTATTCAGCTCTCCATTATTATGGCATCAGCCTAAGCCGAATATTTTCCTATATAGCCCTCCGTCGCATTATTATGAGAAAGATGTTTCATTATCTTACACAGTATATGCCTTATCGATTCGATACTTTTTTAAGTATAATGTTTACTGTACCAGTATGCTTATCAAATGTTAGCAGTGAATCATCTACTGTTTCAGCATCAGCATCACCCTCTCCACTATCATTATCACCAATTTCTACATCTTCTAATCCCATTGCCAGACCATCTGTATACAATACRCAAAACAAATATGACAATATATCAATAATTTATAAAATGGCAGTCGTTGCATGCACAGTAGACATGAGAAGATTCAAAAGCAGCTGTTTTCATCTTGAAAATCAGCATAAACTGACCTTCCTCTTCAAATCCTTCGTCTCTTTCAATTACTTCAAATAATTCTTCGTCTCCAACACCCTCATCCTCTGGAAGTTCATCTCCATTCTCCATCTAAAGCTATAAATAAGTTAGCTCTGAACTTCACTCCTTTTGTGAAAGATAATATTTTATAAACACATGGRTGTTTGAGCACACGATCACAAGTAGTCAGCTGTGTTTATTACTCGACCCATTCTCTTKACCGAGCACGTTGTCAAAACAAAATGGCTGACAAGAAACCATCCAAAACAAATGTATTTGACGATGGCAAACTTGAGAAAAGTGAGACTCCCATAGATTTTCTTTGTAAGTAATGCATTTTTGATTCCATAAGTTGCTATCAGTCGTGTGTATTTACAATGTTTATTGAAATAYAGTGACGTAAATATCTGTAAACAAACAATCAAAAAAGTGGAGAAACTTATTTCGAGTCACTTTGTCTTTTAGACCGAACTGGCATTACAACGCAGATAAAAGATGTTATGAGGTTACTAATTGACAGCAGGCCTGAGGATCCAATAGCCTTTCTAGCTGAATAGTAAGTTCACTTGAAACAATGGGTCTCTATTGTTTTGATTATTTCAAACTTGCTTGGCTTTGACTTCAGTTAAGTCTAATTTTTCTTTACTTTCAGTTTTGATAATTTAGCAGATATTTCCACGGCTTTAATAAGAGCACATCAAAAAATATGCTTGGTTCCTTACTCAAGACCTGCTTTTTATGACAATCTAATGGATGCTTATGACTTGTTGAGGAACCAGAAAGGTACACATACATAGACCTTATGTGATCAGTTTTATCACTCATAACCCTGCCTTGAGCAGGAGGCACGTTTATGTCTCTTAATCTAAACTGAGGTTTATGCAAGTGTATGTAATCTGGGCAAATATAAGACCACTTTACATTACATACCAATTATTGATATGGATAATTATTTCTTGAATTTCAGGAGGAAATGGACTTAGAGGCCTCACAGGAAAGACATATAATGATATGTTAACRCTATTAAACAGGTATTTAAAATAGGAGTGGAGAATGCAATGAAATMACTGTAAATTTTATATCTTGTTGATTTCTAGGGATATTCCAACCAACGAAGCAGAACTATTAATGAAAAGAATAATGTGCTATGATCATGAGGTTGTAAGATTCCATGTTTTCAGAAGTGGAATTCTTTCATCACTAATTTATGAAGGTATTCAAGGACTAGTGTATATACAATAGAATATTGAATTAATGTTATCCTGTATGGCTTGAAAATCATTCATTCTATGTTATTTGATGCAGTATTTGGTAAACCTTAAAATTGTGATATTAACAGAATTTCTAAAGCAAGCTGAGTCTCTCTACCAAGAACTTGATCTGTATGAAAGAGGTTTGTTTGAATTTTTTGCAGAGTTTGATTCTCATTTTTCCAGTTGTTCCAGTGCAATCTGAAAATTGGAAAATTGATTAGGCATCCATGATCTGATTAAGAAGATTGTTTCAGTATGTCATCATCTGTGTCAGTCATATTTGCTGACCAAGAAGGGTTATTTTGATTTATTATGTAAATATAAAACTGTTTCAATTTTTAGGAAAAGCTGATAAAAGGCTTTGTGMTTTGTGTCTCAAAAAATTGGAAGATGCCGTTAATACATCCAATATATCAGATCCTCTAAGGTAATATCTGCTTACATATACTCATATCTCTCCTTCAATAGTTTATTTCATTTTGTATTTTTTCTAATGTAGTATCATCCAGGCCGGTGTGCATGTGAGTTCCAAGTCATTTGAAAAAACTGCACTAGAGGTATTKAGAATCAGATTTCTAAATAAGTGATTATGTGATTTATACATGTACTTGAATAAACTTTTAATTTTCTTATCAGGTTCTAGCGAAAGGTGATCACAGCAAAGAAACAATAGCAAAAGAGGACTTTATTAAATCAGCTAGAGATATATTTTTAAATCAGGTCAGTGTGTGGATATCAATGTTATTAATTCTGCATTTTTCCTTTGTTCATTCATAATTTCATTCATTCATTTCCCATATTTCTTTATCATTTTAGATGCCTTCCTTCAAGTGAAAACAAGGAGGTTGCCTGTCAAGGATAAAATGTTTTTATGAATTATTTAATAAATAAGCATATAGTATTTATGAAGTGTATGTTAATTATATGTAAATTTGTTCATTATTGTGTATATGCAATGTTAATGAACCATTGAATGCAAAGAACCACCTGTAAATAAACATTTAAATATCATAAACTGGCAAAGAATCATTACTAGTGTTTATAAAAATATGTTTCTCWTACCTGTATTTTGTTATACTATTAAATTTATGAAATAAAACAAAATTTTATGCCAAAAAATATTTACGTATTCCAAAACTTAGTGCTATAAAAATATCATTAAAAAATAAATTGATGAAATTGAATTCGAAATATTTTGCATTATCAAAATAAATATTGGGCTTCCTTTAGTAAAAKGCCTGATAGGAGCCTGGTAATAATACCCAGAACTCTGCGCGCCTTGAATGAAACGTCACCACATCCAACATGGATTCCGTAGTTTTGGTGAGTAGATCGATTCTTTGTCATTTTTACTACTTTTTCAACCGTTATATGGTTAAAGAGGTTTTCATTAWCTTTTGAAATGCTCTTTAAAATATTTAGTATTAATAGAGTTTATTTTTTTTTGTTTTATATTGCTTAAATCGTACTATATTTGCACTGTATACTTGGGTAATTTTATTTCAGCCTAGCAATTATTGTCGGCAAATTCGTTTTTGTAGTGTTGTATTTGTAGTTTTATATCATCATATTGGATACAATTGATAGATCTAGGCTCCTGAAGTTTATTGATARTATTATTTTGACTGTAATCTTGTTTTTCTTTTAATAGGAAGCCTCACTATACACTGTTAAAGGTATTGCCATCCTTGATAATGATGGTGAAAGAGTGTTAGCAAAGGTAATAGATCTATGATGATCACTTGATCTTACATCGACTACATTTTAGTGTTACATTGTAGCCAATGTAAGCCTATGTTTCACTGTTAACTGAATTCACTGTGCATTGTGATTATCATCAATTATAAAGTAATTTGTTTGAATTTTTCAGTATTATGATGACACTTATCAAACATCGAAAGAACAAAAGGAATTTGAAAAGAATCTCTTCAACAAAACACACAGAGCAAATGGTAATGCAAAAAAAAAAAAAAAAAAAAAATCTGCTAGCTATTCAGGCTTTCAAAGGCCATAAATAATAGCCCAGAATATGGAGCGGGGTAAAGAATCAGTGATGTATTATGAATTCTTAAGGCATATTGAAATGTTTTTCTTTGTTTTCAGCTGAAATAATTATGTTAGAAGGAATGACATGTGTRTATAGAAGTAGTGTTGACCTGTACTTTTATGTCATGGGCTCTTTCAATGAGAACGAGGTAAGTAATGACCATMATTTTTGAAYGAAAGACATTATACACCTCACTAGGCACAAAGGACTAATGTAACACAACAGGCTTACTACAGTGCATTCTACATAATCTGGAGATTGATTGATTAAAGTGGTTTTCTCTAACATCTGATGATATTTACTTCTTCACAGCTCATCCTTGTCAGTGTATTAAATGCATTCTTTGATGCAGTCAGTATGATGCTCAGAAAAAATGTAGAAAAAAGAACACTTCTTGAAAATCTTGATGGTGTGCTTCTAGCTATGGATGAGATTGTTGATGGAGGGTATGTATATAAACTTACAATTCTGAAATGGCAAGCCTCTATCACTGATGCATTTGTTCTGTTCAGGGTTATTCTAGAAGCAGATTCTAGCGCTATAGTTCAACGAGTAGCAATGAAGGTGTGTTACTTGTTTTGGCTATTTTCCTTGTTCATGTATTATTTTGTTTTGATTGCCATGTTTACAGTCAGTTCCTAATGTAAATACAACTTTTAATGCATATTGAATACAATGAATTACTATTTGTTATTTAGATGGATGATGTACCAATAACAGAACAGACTGTAGCACAAGTTATACAGACAGCAAAAGATCAACTAAAATGGTCACTCCTCAAATGATTTATCACTTATGAGCATTTTAAGTTAAAATCAATCATAGTRGAATAACATTCTGCTCTTGTAAAGTATGAATATTATCAGATGAGAGGAAAGTGGTTAAAATTTTAGCAGYATATAAAGAACAGAAACTTTACCAATATATTAGAATATCTTATCATTCACAGTTATTTCCTGGCCAGTACCACAGTTAATGTACTTGTAGCTAATTTGTAACAAACTTATGTATGTAATAATAGAACACCCATTCTAGACAGTATCTTAAATAAATCATGAATTTGGATATTATGATAGTTTGTTCATCTTCTGTTTTGGCAGATTGGAATTTATTTAATATAAAAAAGTAATTATTGGTAGTAATTTTTTTCAASTAAAAGTCCATTGAATGAGTACATACATAAAAAAGTAAAATGAAAAGGTTTTTGAGTGGTTTTCATTATAACCCATGTGCTGGAATTAATTGCTGTTTTGCATGTGTTGGTTTGCCCTCATTAAACTTTGACTATTAAACTTTGTTTTATCGGTTGATGAAAACAACTCTAAAACTTGTAACCGCACTCTGGTAGCAGCATATTTAAAAACGACTGACATTCAGGAGAATTCAACCAAATTCTGAAGTCAGAAATTTCTTCATGGTCTCATGGATTTTGAATCTATTAGTTACATGTATTGACCATCGGCAAATAGCACACATTGATAAGTAAATTTTATTTTCTTCTGCAAAATATTTTACATAAAATATATCTTTCTTTTAATTTTTATAAAAATTGTTTTTGYGGTAWTTGTTTGAAAAAACAATGGGCAAGAAACCATTGAAAAAACATTTTTCGATAACGAAAAATAATTAAATATCCATGTATTTGCTTTTAACTGAGTTTTGAAAATAACTTGAACAATGAYAATATTATCTATGTGGTGACTGACTTGCTGTTCTGTACTGTATTCACACAATTCTTATACATGTAAAAGAATATATAACCATCTCTAGCATGACCATAGCGAACATTGTACTCATCAACTTTGATAGCTGTCAGGTCGTCATAGCTTGTCCATTCGTCTTTTAAACAGTCATATACATCACTTATATAATGACCTGTAGATATAAATGACAGTGTATTAATAACATTGCGTAAATCATTCAATAGACATCATATAACCAATTTAGTGAAGACTAAAGGCTGATTTACACGGCACGATTGTCTCGTGCGATTTGTAGTATACGACTTGAATCGCGCAGTGTAAATGCCCCTACGACTTGTCTACAACAGTCGTACGCAACCTACGACTTGTAGTAGGTTTTTGAACCACTGCTGAAAATGCAATCCTACGACTTGTAGTAGGAAAATCGTATACTACAAGTCGCGCGCAACAAATCGTACCGTGTAAATCAGCCTTAACAGCTCTTTGGACATGGTGTGACAACCATTTTTCATGTAATACAATTTTCTTATTAATGAATATTGATTAACCTGCTGAAGACTTGCTTCCAAGATGACTCACMACACTCACTAATCGATATGGAAAAGTCATGCCATCATCACCCTAATAAAACAAAAAGACTWTTAGTKWCTATAAGTTAAACCGTAAATTCAAATTATTATTGTTGTTCTTCTTCTTGTTAGATGGTTTGAATTCTATAACACCATACCTTACCTGAMAACCTGAGTCTACTGAATYRGGTACAAGCTTCTCAGGACTTGGATAATTTTTGAAATGTTCCATTGGCAGAGAATCTTCAGTGTATATTTTTGTTTCTGAAATGGATTATGCAATGATTAGACTGCATGCAGAAATATGATATCAAAGACAGTCAATACCTTGAATACTCAGTTCAATGGCTCTCCTCATTTGCTCATCGTCTTCACTTTGTACTTCCTAAAATATTTTTAAATTTTAATAATCGATAATATATAATCATCATCATAATATAACAAGATGAAGATATCATTGTCTGTCAAAATTCAATTGACCACCTCACCTGGTCTTCCAAGCTTTTCTGAATTGCTTTTGCAAGGTCGTCTTCATAATCAGAATTTTCTTTTGWTTCCCTGTAGAGATTTTTCCTGCTCTTTGGCTGTTCAGACTGTGACAGCTTATGGAGTCTGCTCTTAGAATATGTACGAGGACTTGGGGTTCTTACTGAAGGCTTTTGAGCAGACTGTGTAGTTTTAGTTAATAAGCCTGGGCGATACTTGGCRTTAAATGGACTTGAAACAGTCTTGACAAATTTGTTTTTTCTTTGYRATGAGTCTGTCATTTTTGCAGATCCTGTATTTGTATCAACCTCTATTAGAAGATCATCAACAAACTCATTTAAAATTGGTTGCTGGTCGATAAGAGAGCACAAGCTGCTATCTTTCCTYTTCTTTGCACCATCTTCATTGGCTGACGTTTCTGTACTGTCATCRCTAATTACCATGGCAGGTTTTGAAGAAGGTACAATTCCACTGTGTTCACTATCRTCACTCTGTTCATCTGCGTCACTACGAGCRCCACCTTTAAGCCCAACAGGTTGTTGACAATAGTTATCAGAGAGAGCTGAGAGGATTTCATCATCAGTACAGTCCATGTCATATTCACATTCATCACTTTCAGRTTGATCTTTTCTTTCTGGCCTTGTCTTCAAGCTTTCCCTTAATGCCCACTCTAATTGCTGGTCCTCAGGCATTGATAATAATTCATTYGTATTTTCAGATGATTCAATCTGAAGAGGAGTTTTATCAATGTCTTCAAAATCCTCCATGATAGTGTCTACAGGATTAGTAATTACTTGGACATTTCTTTGACTACCACTAATACAGTCCAAATTGTTGACCGTTACTTGAACTTTTTCTTTCATTTGCTGTTGACCCTCTTTGTCTTCATTGTCTGACTCAATGCTCTTCTTTCTGCAATTGACACACAAGATGTGCAGTTTGTGTTAAGGACATTAAAAAAAATATTACTACACTAACGATGATAGTCTCCTACGATGTCTACTAAAATCACTATAATACAAGCAAAGCAGCCAAACCAAGGAATCTCTGCTGCTCAGGAAAAAAATGAGGTGAACTGGTGACACCAACACAATGTTTTCTATACCTTTTTGGTGTAGTTTTGAATTCTTGATTTAACTGCCTTCGTGCACTAGATGATGTACTGGTACAGTTAGCAGTGGATTCCAGGGGTTCCGACACATCAGCAACAGGTGATTTGGCATCACTGAGAAGAGTACAAGGATTGGTCAACAAATGATAACTGAAATGCAGCCAGATTGCTAATACSCTGGSAACAGAGTATTATTTGCCTTACCTYACTTTTTATTGAGGTAAGGCAAATGACACTGTTCACAGGGTAGATTGCTAATGATATACTCACCTTAACTGTACAGATTGAACTTCAAAGTGAAGAGGTTGTGATGTCTTRTCAGTGCACAACTTTCCTAAAACGTCAAAAGAAACATTATTTAAAATAATCTTCKATTAAATTAATACTGAGAGAAAACKACCAACCATTTTTAAGAAATTGGACACTCTAAATACATATCTAGTGTATGCAGCTTAACAATGGATAATATTATAGCAGTTGATTGACAAAAATTGTTCATTATGTTTATCAATGTCTTTATACCCAAGTATCTGCACTCGGGCCATCTAACTTATTTTTCCTGATGTAGGGACAGTTTACTGTAATASTTCCCTGTGTTGGTGCTGTACATGCTCAAACACATCACTTACCTATGTCAATAAACTTCCTAATGTTGACCACATTGTGCTTTTTGGCATGTCTATCAGTTAGCTTGTTGAAATCATAGCGCTTTACATGAAGAATAAGCACCCTAAAACACAATCATCTTTTCATCAATTYAAATTTCACGTCCACACTAAACTCACACTGCACATGACTAACGAACGGATGGATGGATGGACGGATAGATGAATATAGTGTTGAATTCAAACACTTCACCTGGGTAGCTTGCTAAATTTGTGGGATATACAAGCTTCTTTGAAACCGCACTCCTCACAGCAGTATTCAAGCTCTTCATCCTGASAGAATTCAAAAGATACAAACCTTATTGAGTTGAGAAATCACTAGAATTCTGGAGTTTCATTGGCCATATGAAAAASAGCAGGGGTTGACTGGGAATGASCASCTATGCACAATAAACAGGTCCTTAAACAAACCTTAAAATAGTCCTCTATTAATTTGTCTATTGGTATCCCTTTCATCGAATGAAATGTGCTTTCATCTGAACTAAAGAAATAAACATCATAAATACAGCAATACATGTGTGGAACACCAGTCTCAATCTGCATTGGTAACATTTCAATATTAATATATATATATAACTAGTATAATTTTGTTAAACTTACATTGTTGGAAGATCCAGTGATAGGTCATGTAGAATTTCCTCTTTGGTGACATTCTCACCACATCTGTAAATCAAGATGATAAAAATTATAGGAGAAAACATGTTTTGTTTTCTATTTGAATTAATGTTTTTCATCTTAGTATATATGATATCAATGATTTCAGTCAGACTGTCCATATTGAAACATTGTAACATTAAACAGCATGTAGCAATAATTACCCTTTACAAGTGATGGTATGGGATACAGCACATTCAAATGTTCTTGTCACTGGACAACTYTGTGTAAAATCCTATCATTGAGAAAAACCATTTTCAAAAATTATTRAGTGGAACAGGAAAAGAGCACATGCTAAGGCAATAAATAAAAGAAGTTCAAGAAGAACGTTGTAGTATTCCAATACCTTCTCTGTAACTGTGCAACTACCTTCTGTTGATTCCTTGTTGCTTAAAGCAGCTACCTCATCTTTGAGTTGATCAAGAACTTGACAGAGAAATTCATGAGCATCCTGGTAAAAAGATAAAAAAATTCAGCCATTAACGGACATCAAATTCTGCTGGAATTTGTACTTCAGACTCTGCTTGTGTATGGGACCATATATTGAAGTCACAATTATGGTTCTAGGCTAGCCTCCTTTACAGGGCACTTCAACGGAAAAAGATTTTTTGCCTTCTAACTAGTATGTCATAATTATTCCTGTGGGATAAGCATTGTTAACTTACATGCTGTAAGTGCCCAGAAAATCGTGTTGCTGCTTTTGAAATAGCTCTTTTAAATTTCCTGAGATGAAGATTTTGAAGATCTTGAGGACAGTTCTTCTTCTTACAAACTAATAGACCATGTGTACATCTGTAATGAAAATATTAATTA